TTTTTTTTAGTATAAGAGTCAAAGAGAACTACGGAACTGAAAAATTGAGATAATAGCATTAAAGTTGATTAGTTTTATTTAATTTTCTTTTTTGAACAGCGAGTTTCTCAGATTTTAGTGAGTGATTGATATGTAGTAATTCTACATGGACTGATAATAAATTAGAATTAAATGTGTAATTTAGTGCGACATAGGCAAACTTTTTTTTTTTTTGGAAAATTCTTTAATTATTTCTATTAATTCTTTGTTTTATTTCAATCGACCATCTGTAGTATCAATACGATTGAGAGATTAATTCATAACACTTGAAGAAGTAATTGACGAAAATTTCGATCGACCTTATTATCCATGAAAATCTATCAATATGACTATTCAAATGAGTCGAACTAATTTGTTCGGATGAATTTTGAGTTTTTATCTATAGTTATAACTGCGATCGAAATTCTCTTCGGCTTCGCTTATTAATCGAAATTAATATGACACACAGAGTTTCTAGTCGATGTTGCCAACAGGATAAATAATAATCCAACCAGAATTGTAAAGTAATTTGCAGTTTGTAAATTGCCAGATTCATAAGATTTTAAATAAAATGATTTTTTTTTAAAACATTGATTATTTTCATCTGATTTTTATTCAATTTCCTATAAATCTGGCTCTTCTCCAATCCTTGAAATCCTTGAAATCCTTGACTTGTTTTTTTTTTTCATTTCATTCGTCACAATGAAATTTAACAATTACAAAATTAAACATCATGAAAAATAATAATATCGGAATAATTTCGATGATGAGTAGGGAATTTTTATCTTCAATATTGGAATATTTTAATATTGGAACTCTCACTTTGGTATTGGTTTGGTATTTTCATTGAAGATATAATAAAAATAAATATTTGCCCAGGAATCAACAGCTGGCAATGGTCTCTCCCCGGTGATGGACGTAAATCCCTATCGAGTTTTAGTGGAAAAATACGAGGCATTGCTAGAAGTTCAGCGTCAACCAGCACGTCGTAAGCCAAGTATTGCCGCACCACCCTGTATGTCTCTTCAAGAGGAACTAGAGATGTCAGGTGATTTCAACAATTTCCAAACACAATTCTGCGACGAGAGCCACGAAATTCATGACACGTCAAAACAGAGTCGCCTGGTTCTTCCATCCCAAGATTGTCGAAACGGCAAAAAACCATTCTCAGCAACTCCCACAGACTTCTCAGAGGCTGAAACCTCATCATCGGGTTTCTCAGATGAAACGAGTAACAAGGGAACTCAAACCGATGGTCGACCCGGTTCATTCCTCTGCTCCATTGCTGACGACGACTGCAAATTCAGTATTTATGATGACACGAGCTCCTTTGAGAGTCGATTTAACAAAGCACCACAGTATCGTCAACTCTTCAGGGAGATTTTTGGTGTTTTGAAGAGAGCAGCCGAGGCTAAAGATGAGGGTGAAAAGCTACCCCTCATTGATAATACAGTGGAATCCTCAGTGAATAGAATTACAGACGATTCAATGGAAAATGACGATACCATGAGCGTCATGTCATCAGTTATTTCATCAGTTGTTTCTGAACCTGTCATCAGGATTCAAAGCCCAACTCCTGAGAAAGGTGAAGAGGGCACAAGTGCCAGTCCAGGCAAGAGTGAAAATCACAATGTAATCAGACATCCTCACAAAAGACATCAGCAGTATGATTATTTGTCCGTTCAGGTGAGGAGTTTTGCGAGTTTTGCCGTGGAGAAAATTCTTTTCAACTTTTCGATGAGGTAGTTTTTTATTTGTTTGTAGAAGAGGATTGGGACTGGTGGTGGGGTTCAGATTCACCATAAAAATTGCCGAACATTTAGTACAAGTTATGGATGCTTGCGTATCTTTGCAATCTTTATACCGAGCGTACCGTGATTTTTTATTCACAGTCGTAATACCACTGGTACTTTGAAATTATCCGATATTTCAGACTGATTAAGCAATTGGAAGAGAAATCATTTGGGAAAAATTTAACAAAAAAAAAATGTTGACTGGTTGAGGTTGACGAAGATATATGTAAATTTCAAAGATAATAAAAAAAAAAAAATTTCATTCAGGTGAATAATCGCATATGTCAAATATTTTCCAGGTGAGGAAGAAGAATATAGCGAAAAAAAGTGCTCAAAAAAAATTGAACTTCAGTGACAGATCGACGACACCAGACATCGTACCAAGTCAAAATCCAAAATTCTTGCAGGCCAAGTCAAACAGCGGTGGCAGAAGACAAAAATTCCGACCCCTCACCCAAGCCGAACAGGATGGTACTGTTTGGAATGGTAACACTATTCACGTATTCTCAAGTAGAACGAGAGAATCACCAACGACTCGTAGAGTTAATGGACACAATCGTCACAATGATCAGCAAAATTCTACAACACTGGAATTCAATAAGGAGTATAAACCCTCCTCAGCATCTGAAGAAGTTGCAAGACTCAGGAGACTTGAAATGTCTTATGCTGAGGCTCTAAGAATGCCAAACAAACCAAAAGCCAATCATTCACGTAGACATTAACGGAAAAAAAAATTAAAAAAAAAAAAAAAAAACAAAAAACATAGAATACTGAAAAACTAAACGTTAACGAGGAAAGCAGAGATTTCAGAAAGAGAAAATGTCACATTTTTTTTTTCTTTTTTTTTTTCATTTTCAACATACAAAAACTTTTTCTCTGAATGTAGTCGTGTTTACTGAGTGAAATAAACATAAATAGAAATCGTCGTAATATAAATACTAGAATGAATTTTAAATTATTGATTCAGTATTTGAGTCTTGCAAATTCGAATTTTTGTTGTAAATATTTTTTGTTTATTGTGGTTCAGTGCTTCTCTGTACTTCATTTGTATATTTTTCTCTTCCGGCAGTGTTTACCCAATTAATTTTTTCTATGATTTTTCTATGTCCAATTTTCGCGACGTGACACTTGAATTATTATTGTTATATATATTTTTTTTTTTTATACAATTCTATGTGCTATTCGTGCAATTATGTGATGAAAAAAAAATGATTGATTGATTATGCTGTTTTGGGACTCGAGAAAATATTTATGTGCCATCTAATATATACATATATATAAAAAAAAAAAGTAAAAATATAAAATTGTCATTTGACAAATGTGAAAATTCTTTTAATAGATTGAGATGATCGAGAAAATTTAACATTATTTTTCAGTGTACGTCGATGAATTTTCTCCTCCTATATTTAAGGTACCAATTAGCTTTTGTATTTTTCTTCAGAGTTAATGGAAGGACTTACTACTTTTGTGATCATTCTTGTACAAGCAAATAAAAATTCTTTACCATATATTTTATCCCTTTCTTTCAATTTATTTATTTTCGATTGTATTATTATATAAATTAAGATAAATTTTCATGGAAAATAATTGAAGATTAAATGTTTTTGTTCAGGAAATTTATTTTCATTGCGTTATCCAGCATGAGAATTTTTTTCATACCAAAATATTGTGAATTTACCAGATGTTTCTTTACTTACAAAAATGAACACTGAATCGGAAAGTGTTTAAATCAGATTAATATCTCATTCGTTTAAATTCAAATGAAAAAAAAATTTCTCAATTTTGAAATGACAATTCAGTGAAATGGTTGATAATAATTGATCGTGGTGAGGCAAAACGTAGAAGCTGATGATGATACGGATTATTCAATTGTGGCAGTCGTCAAAAAGAGCACGATGGACTGCTCCGAGGCTGGGTTGAACATAACTAGAGCTTGCGGTTCGTCTGGATTCAGTGAGTGATCTGACAGCAGGTGCGGTGGGATTATTCTTCGGTCTAGGATTAACCAATAAACACTTCATAGGATGTCCATCCAGCTGCCTATTATGATAAGTCTCCACAGCTTTGGTGGCATCTTTCAGTGTCTTATAAATCACCTCAGCAGTTCCAGGCCTAACGAGCCTCGATACCAATAACTCCCCAACATCTTCAAACAACTCCTTGATGTCTTCCTGGGTAACATTAGCTTGCAGATTCGAGACAACGATCCTGTACCCAGTGGGTTGGCCAGAAACACCAGAAGAGCTGCTCTTAGCTCTTACGAGAACCCCCAAAGTTCTTGATTTCGTTCCACTGCCCTCCAGCCTGGACTTCACCCCAACATCCCGGTGACTCCTCGCATCAAAATATTTCTCCTCATGCTCTTCAGCTAAAATTGTCCTGGTTTTACCCCCAAAGCTCCAGTCATCGCGATGGCTATCGATTTTCTGTCCCATTGGAATCCTGGGAATAATTTTATACTCCCTCGGTCGTGCCACCTCAGCTTTTCTGATTGTCGTTGACCTCTGCGAACTCTTTGGCCAGGAATAACCAACAGAGGGCTTGATACCAAATACAGGAGGGGGTGGAGGCAGTCCAGGTGCATATTCATTGCTTACAGTTCGTCTCAATGATGCATCAACGATGTAATTGTCTTTTTGGTCTATGTAGGAGGACTCTCCAAGGCTACCTCTGTATCCAACAACCCTGGGAGGTGGATTGTAGGGAAGTTGGGAATCGTATGAGGGGATCAAGGGAGGATTTCTGTTAGTGGAGAGAGATATTTTTCCATTGCGACCCGTCTTACGAGAGATTGTCGGCATCATTGCCAGGGTTTTATGTGTTGCACGAAGTTTTTCCAACTTCAGACGAGCGTCTGATTGCTTTGCGATTTGTGCAAGTTTGTCTCGAGCATCCGTTAATTTTTCACGATTCTTTTGGATTATCTTGAAACGAGCGTCTGCTATTGGTTTTGTTCTGTGAGACGGTTGGCTAGGTCGGACATTTGGGCGTAGTGGACCTTTTTGAATGCTGAAAATTTATTATTATTGAAGGGTCAAATAAGAGTGGAGATTTTCCAATTTTTTTAAAAGCTATTCATTCAATACTTTCGACTTTCGAGTGATTGTAGGAAACAAACATAGAACCAGGTCTTCATACATCATTGATATTCTGTTTCTCCATGAAAATAGCAATGTATTGAGGTTAAGTAGAAACTTAGTTTCAGTGAGATGAATTAATTCAACACACTGTCGATTGATAAATCTATTTCCATTGCTGTGACAAGGTAGACAGATAGATTTGTATTGTTTTTTTTCCTTTTATTTATTTATTTATTTATTTTTTCAATAAGATGAATGTCATGTAAATAAACCATAATATGTAATTGTGTATCTTACCCGCCTCGTCCTCTCAGGCCTATCTTTCCCTGTGGCTTCTTTTTCTTAATTATATCGTCGAGACTCATATCAGCCATTTTATTAAAATTTACTCTAAACGATATAACAACTAAAAATTATTAAAAATGAATGGAATACTTGATTTGTGAGACATTTATTGGGGATGGGTGCAACTGAACACAGTCAACTGACCACACGGCAATTGGCCACAAATTTTTAAATATCGTCAACTGGCCACAACAGTAAATTGTAGATGGTGAGGCGTTACTGTTATTTGATCTCAGTATTCTTTGTCGCCAAAATTATTTGCTGTTAAAGACCAAGAGATGGGAGTAGTATATGTAAAAATTAAAAACGGCCCAGTACGTCATCACAAAAAAATCGCTATTACATCGAACAAAAATGCCTCCTTTGTTGAAGCCATTTATCAGTGCAAAACATCGCCAAAAAGGGCGTGATTTTTAATTTTTTGACTTTTTGACCAAATGGCACTTGGAAAATTTCCAAAAAAAATTCACCATTCACGCAATAATGAAAATTCCAGGAAAAAGTGAATGGATCTGAGTTACGGA